AGTGTTAAAAATAAGTTTATTATAAAATGTATTTTCGTTTACGTTTTACGTATCTCTATGTATCTATTTTTAACTACATATTAGAATAGAGACAGAATAAAATCTAGTTTTAAATAACACTGTTCATTTATATGTCTTTGTAAACTAATTCTAAGAGAGAAGTAGTACCATCTAATTAGTGAAGAATTAATATCTACAAATAGTTAGAGAAAATAGTAAGTAATCACCAGTTGTCATAATAAATTTGAAGTCTAAAAGGAGTTGGTTATTTTATGTCATAAAAATCAATGTGTTGTGGTCCGATTATCCGGGACGTTTCTTCAGATTAAGTCATTAAATCAATATCATACATATGAAAAGGTATACAATTAATTATCACCATTGATGAATAAAACAATCAACCACATGTTAATATATGAATTCTAGTTCCCACTCAATCTTCACTAGCATTAAGGCTTTTGAACTTACACTAAGAGAGCACTAACCACAGTTAAATTTATCCTACCTAGACATTTTTATGAATTAAATTTAACCTTACTGTCATTTAAAATGTAATAAACAGTAAATGCTTGATCAAATTAATTTATAAATATCACATTTTTGAAATATATTCTGTATTCTCCCATAGACAAATATCTTTAATTCAATTGGTGTATCTTCTCAAGAGTAAAATATTACAGTTTACCATTTATTTAAATTTGTCCACCCAAGTATCTATGAGATGGCAAATGTATACGTTTACTAAAATACAATAATCTTATTATAAATATAACAATAAATGGATAGTAATCACCGATTTCATGTAAACAATTTCATCTTGGGAAGTATGGGTGTATTATCCATATGAGAATTTAATTCATGGGGATCTCGTGATAAATGTGACGTGTTTATACTCTCACAAACAAGAATTGATTGGTCATTGATTTTAATGATTGGATTTTTGTTTCAAATAATTATTGACCTTAATTACTATGTCACAAGGTATAATTTATACGAACATTTGTCACTAAGTTGGATCAATCAATTATTCGTGTAAACTATACATAAGGTGTTTATATTCTGAATTTTTCTGGAATAAATTGTTATTTTTTAAACTAATTACATAGTCTAATGGTAAGTTGTTCCACGAAAATATAGACGTTTGACTAAAAACAGTGTTGACAACTTTGTTACTAATGCTTGGACAATTATATTTACAACTTATATGCAAAAATAGATAATCGGACTGACCCAAACGGTTATGTATAAGTGATAACTTTGAATAGATTCACGTTGGTCCTGAGGAACTAACTATATCAAGCGGACCATACTGACGAATACGAAGCATACTCATGAATATTTCCATACCTGATTGACGGAGATGAAACGGAGAGCATCGCATTGCTTAACCACACTATCTGCTCGAAATAATGCCCTCTCTGAAAGCTCACAAATACAGTCCAGCGAATAAGTAAAGCATAGAAAATATGACATTTATGCAGAGACGAAATTCTTGGAACCCAGAGGTTCAGACTGACATCATACATTTAAAACAAATATGGGAAACCCCTTTCCTTACAGTTCTCTGAAGAAGAATGTTACCGATTTCATTGCAATTTAATTGTAAATCTACTGTCGGTCTCAACTAAATGGTAGATTTCAGACGCAATTATTCCTACAATTTTTCTCCTCGAGTTATCTTAATACGGGTATTCATAACGTCCTGACTTCAGGGTTGTAAACTATGTGACCTCCGCAACAACTACCCAGTTTATTTTACAGTATGTGTTCAATCACCACTAAAATACTTCACTTTCATACCTAGAAGTATTCAAACCAAGGATTTCATTCTGTTTTGCTTTCTTAAACTTAGTATTTCTGGGACCGATTACACATTAGGCTAAAAATCCAGATGTACTAAGCTGGGACTTGGTCCTTCAAGAAAATAGCACCTTTAATTAAATATAGTCTTTTCCTTCAAAATTTGAAATAAATTATCCTTAACATTTATTCGTGCAATTCAGTGTACATCAATCGTTTCTCATTACCATAGATGACATTTCAATATAAATTCACTATCTTAGAGAATTTGTTTACAACTAAATTTTTAAGGATTTCGAATAATTTGCCGTGGTCTACCTGTGAAACCAACTAATTACGATTATGTACATAATAAATCAATAATGCTCTCTCTCTCGACACTTTCTGAAGAACGCTTACACCAACGTTTAAAACACTGTTGACCAGTGAAAATATGTGTGTAAAATGTATGAATGCCTATAAATAAATATAATGATAACGATATCTTTCATATTATTATCTTATGTTTTTACTCTATGAATAACTAACGTCACACTTGGTTAATCACAAACTTTACTGTACTTGCATCATTTATTTTGTATTTTGAACATCAGGTCAGTTAAGAGAACCTCCTTTATGAGTCTTTAATAACTAAGAACAGATAAACTGAAAGCCATCGCAGTGACTTTGCTTTGTTGCATCATCTCTGGTTTCGTTTTCCTCTTTCTAGTTGCAGATGCTTTTATGAATCTTGTGGCCAAACTAAGAGCACATAACACTATTGCTTTTTTCGTGGAGGCTATTTTTCAGTCATCTTACTGAAAAAAAACTAAATCCTAAACGGTGTGTCCTATCGCTTGCAAGAAATGAAAAGTTGATTGCATACCTGAATATTATAAGAAACCTTCATCCGACCCACGTCATCTACATTTGTGTTAATTCAGTAAATTTTGTTCTGTGCTATACGTTAAATGCTTTATACAACGACTCAACGCACTGCAAGCCTGTAAAGTAGCAATGATGATCAGTAGATAATGAACATGCTTTTATGATGCACCAAACTGTATAACTAGTGACTAAACTATATGATATACCTTCCAACTAAAAAGTGTGGTGTCTCTTATTTCAAAACACTTATGGAATTATTTGTATATCACTTTCCCTGATTACGTGCGTTTTCCACAAACTACTTACAAGATTTATAACTGTTACGGTATGTATTCTGGAATTAATATTATACTCCGAAATTATGTCAACTCTGATTATGTTGTTTTTTCATGGAACAACTCTGTGACTGATCTTCTGTTAAAATAGTTTATGGATCATGTCCTATAAAGTAATGCAAACATTTTTAGTATCCCTTCTTTTTCATATTAAACTAGTAGGCATTCTATAGAATATATATATATTTGTTTTGAATTCAACAATTGATTCTCTCAGGATAAATGGAAGCTATGCAACGTTTGTTTGTTTTTCAGTGTATTGATAAATTTAAGAATAGTCACTTGTGGTTATACCTGAACTCGGTCAGGAAAGATCAACAATTTATTATGGTGGTCTACAAATCTATTAGTGTAGAAAATCACTAGCCTGTAAGAGTATATTATCTCAAGTTATCATTTGTACATCAAGTAGTCTATAGGAATATAATTCTTACTTACTTACTTACATATTTTACTCTTAATGGAGCATAGGCCGCCGACCAGCATTCTCCAATCCACTCTGTCCTGGGCCTTCCTTTCCAGTTCTATCCAATTTTTGTTCATTCTTCTCATGTCTGTCTCCATTTCTCGGCGTAATGTGTTCTTTGGTCTTCCTCTCCTCCTTTGGCCTTCAAGATTCCATTTGAGGGCTTGTCTTGTGACGCAATTGGGTACTTTCCTCAATGTATGTCCTGTCCACTTCCAGCGCTTCTTCCTAATTACTTCCTCCGCTGGGATCTGGTTTGTTCTCTCCCACAATAGACTGTTGCTGATAGTGTCTGGCCAACAGATCAGAAGTATTTTGCGTAGACAGCTGTTAATAGCCACTTGTATCTTCTGGGTGATGGCTTTCGTAGTTCTCCAAGTTACCGCCCCATACAATAAAACTGTCTTGACATTTGTATTGAAAATCCTGACCTTGGTGTTGGTTGACAGTGGTTTTAAATTCCAGATGTTGTTCAATTGTAGATATGCTACTCTTGTTTTGCAATTCATGCCTTCACATTTGCATCAGATCCACAGTGTTCATTAACGATGCTGCCTAGGTATGCAAAGGTTTTTACATCTTCCAAATCTTCTCTGTCAGTTGTGATTAGATTGTTTCATACTGTGTTGTATAGGAGAATCCTGCTTTTCCCTTTGTGTATGTTGAGACCTACTGCTGCTGAGGCTGCTACTACACTGGTCATCTCCTGCATTTGTCGTTGCGTGTGCGATAGAAGAGCCAGATCATCTGCGAAGTCTAGATCGTCCAGCTGCATCCTGGATGTCCACTGTATCCCATGCTTCCCTTCAGATGTTGAAGTCTTCATGATCCAGTCGATCACCAGGAGAAAGGGTGAGAGTAAGCAACACTGCCTGACACCGGTCTTTGCTTCGAACGAGTTTTTCAACTGTCCTCCATGCACGATTTTGCAGTTTAATCCATCATAGGAATTCTGTATGATATTGACTATCTTCTGAGGCACACCGTAGTTTGGAATGTAATTCTACTAAAATATTACTTGTTTGGATGCTTAGTTTAAAAAAGTATATGCTTACAAACTATTATAAATACAAAGTCATACCACCTAATCTTACCATTCTAACTGTAATCAAACATTTATCACTTTAAGCACTGATAGGTTGGAAATTTATGATGCACATTACTTGTTCAATGAATGTTGTATGTTTGTATGTTTTACTATATTTAAGCGATTATGTGATAAATTTGAGTTAACATGCCTTTGTAGATATACAAGATCGTTGTACAAATTTATAAGTATTTGTGCTTAATAAATTAAAATATTCCTTTTAGTTTTAATCACATTCTTTTTAACATCGAAAAACCTCCTTTGTTTTTAAACTAAACACAGTCACATAATTGATCTAAACTTAAAAATTGTAAAAAAGAACGATCACTGAAAGGATTAAAATATTATACGCAATTACATGACATACAGACAATTTGTTTCAAAATAATAAAAGCTATCCTCGGTTAATGAGTGCAGATAGTATTGAAACAGCAGTAGATAAGAATTATTTTACTGGAGGAGGTATCACTACCAATGGAGTTTTTGTATGAAGCATTACGTAGTTTGTAACACTGCCAAGTAATGTACGGCCAATCAAACCAAGTCCTCTGGATCCCATTATTATAATATCTGCTTTCTGTTCTTCAGCGAATTTTACCAAAGTTGGTCCAGGTTTAGCATGTACATGAACAAATGCTTGACAAGAAATACCAAAACGCCTTGCTTTTATCAAGTATTTTTGTAAAAGTTTCTTTGCATTTTCAATGTCCTCTTGTGTTGACTGCATAATATCGGTTATTGGTGAAGATGCCATAGCCAGTTCAACTGTTGGTGTTGTAAATATTGGTTTAATGACAAATGAAAAGTGTAACTCGTCGTTTTCCCCTCTTAAATTATCCAGATACCATTGAAACGCTCGAGCAGAATGATCACTGGCATCAACTGGTAAGAAAACAACTTTTTTGTCTTCAGTATTAACTCCCATTGTGAACACCTTTTTCTTTGGTCGAATGAAGTTGTGAATTCTATTGTTTAAATAAGGAGTGTTGTTCGATCTAAGTAAAGTTGTATTGGCCAGTTATATTTGGTTAGACATGTGACTTACAAACAGAAATCAATTTCGAAAAACTTACATAGTGAAAAAGGTACTGGTAACGTTAAAATAGGATTTATAAATTACGTAGCCTGCCAAATAAATATTAAAACCTGCAGCTGATTTAACCACACTGTCTATTGTTTATATATGCCAGTTTTCGATCGGGTAAACAATTACAAACACTAGACTGTTGTTGAATAGCGGGTTCATCGTGAAGTTTTCGAGATACCCTCCGGTGTTATTTAACAAGAATTTAGTTTTTAGTCACTGATGTCTCTACTGCATTGATACCTTTAAGCAAAAGAAATGAAATACAGTCATCATTGATCCTTTTGATAGGACTCCAATATACCTATATTTTACTCTATTAAAAGATTATTTACATGTATTCGGTTGCGTGTTGTTCATCACTAATGTTTACTGACAGTGAAGTCTACATTTACTTAGGCTATGTCGGTAAGAATCAACTCTCAGCTGAGTATTTGCATATCATGGCCGTTAATCATAGGATTAATTAACATCATCTTAGAATTTCGGTTAATTAGCGACCTATATATTTGTTCATATTTATATGGTCATTCCTACTAAATTACGTTAATGAAGAATCGTGCGAGTTAATTGTTAAGTGAATTCGGTCCATCTAAATTAGGTGATATGGTTGGTAGTGGAAATTAAGACACAAGTTTTGTGACCTGTCACCTGGATATATCTGCATCCTGAAGTTGATGTTCACCCTAGGATTTGAACCCAGTACCTTTAGCTTCAGAAAGCTAACTCTCAATCAAGTTAGCTACTGAGTCAGTGTAGCCATTCACTTATGCAAGGGTATAAATTCTAAACCAATTTTTACTAACAAAGATAGATGGTGGCTAGCAGTGGAATCCAAGATGCGCGCTTCGTCAGCTGGGTGTGCCTGCATCCCAGAGTTAATGTCCATTCGGGAACTCGAATCCAGCACCGTTCACTTCAAACTCCGTCACCTCATCCATTTAGCTACAGAGTCCTGATAGCCACCTTCTTGTTCAATGAGGTGAAGTTTAAATTCACAAACAAACAATACCAAGTCAATTTTTATTGATTCGTAATGCGACTTGGAATATTAAAATTTAGTCAAAAATATATCAACAACAGTAAACGTGACATGAGATTTCAGTAATGTAAATCTATTTAACACGTTAACTGTATACACAGTTTCTTATGTTATACTTTAATTTTCTAAAAGTAACATTATCTACATTATCTATGAACAACCCTACATTTATAACCAATTGTGTTTGAACTTGTCTCAAATATATTCCTACTGACTAGTTAGAATTCAAGGGAGTATCCTAGACACAATTACTTATTCATGTAATTGTAGTGGATAGTGTTCGGCCAGTCTTTATTATACTTATATAACATGGTACACTGTAAGATGGCTGCTAGTCATGTTTCTAGCATCATTTATATATTTATCATCGTTATCTGTCAGACCGTTTTACGTATTAAACTTCTGACACATTTGTAATTTAAATAAAGTGAAGACTACAATATTCACTGTGTTCTCTGTATTTCGTTACAGCCAAGTTAGTAAGCCTAGTTATCTCGAATTACTAACATAATTTGAAACGATACTTAAACAGTAAATAATTCAGATCTACATTAATAAACTTTATAGAATTCAGAGTAATTAGAAGACTTCAACTTGACCTTTGTACTCAAGAAATGTCCGAAGTTCACCTTCATCTGTCTTGGTAGCCAAAGCATTTTCACACTTTTTTCTTGAATTTTTTTTCTTTAGTTAATTACAGTGAAATTTTAACGCGTTTAACTGACATGTGTTTCTTCTTGCTAAGTTTGTTAGATTTTTGTCATATTATGTAATAAAGTTTTCTTATCAAATATTCTAGAACTGTCATTCCAAGCATTTATAAAAAACCCTATTAACAATTCAATTCTTAATAATGTGTACATTCTAAACCACTTATTCCTTATCAATGGAAAATTCATTTCCTCAAATTCTAAATTATGTTAGTAACTCAAAATGAACAAATGGCAAGACTATAATTTATGGACGAACCGATCAGGTATAAGATAACAGGTCTCGAATTTTGGCACAAAATGCACTCGTTCGTTTGGTTAAATAGAATTTTGGCATTATAGCTTATATTATTTCGTGATGAAAACCCAAAATCTAATTCCTAACTTTAACCATCAACTCTAAATCATATATCTAATTCCCCACACTGGTTTATAACACTCATTTGGTCCTAGTTATTGGGTCGACACTTTCAAAGTCACTCAAGTATCGCTCAGAGGTCGTCCATAAATTATAGTCTCATCGAATAAATTTCTCAAATTATAACTAGTCAAATAGAAAGCATCGAAATATAAAGAATTTGTAGTGAATAGAACACGGGTGGGGACAACCGAATGTATTTGACAAAAAATACAGGACTTGTTAATAAAATCTAACAATCATAAAGTAAATGTTTAATTTGCAAAATGTCCACCAATTGTCTCAAAATGACTCAGACTTCATTGTTCTTGCATTTTCATATAAATTGCATCCTGTTTCCATTCTTTACTGTTTGATCCTCTTGTCTCTTTGCTGCCAGACATTCTGTTCACGAGTAAAATCACATACTACTTATGTCAATATAAGTAGCACACACCACAAATTAACTATATTTTGCAAACTATATCATGTAGTTGAGAAATAGGTTAATCGGTAGTTTCTAGGTTCAGAAAAAAAATTTTGCTTTTGTTTAAATTACTTAACAAAAAATAATTTAATTGTCATGAATCTATGCTGTTTTCGAACTGAATCTAATCTGATCACCTCTAATATAGTTTTTGCCATTTACATAACGTATTTAAACAAGATGCTTCCATTATGTATAGATTGTATGTTGTTAGACTATTAAAATAAACTTTAGCTTCATCTTAACTATTACGTCATATATAAATAAAGCAACTATTTAGTGTTTTATTTATGAAGCCTTTTATATTTTGTAACTAAATTATTCTTAAGACTAGTTTTCAAATTATTACTGGTTTTTCTATTTATGAATTATAGTTTCTATCCACTTTATTCTGAAATGATAACAAGTACAATATCACATAAATTAACAATATACAATGTAAAAGTTAGTTTCCAAAGGCATTCAAGAACATTATCCGGTGTGGCTAAAAAGAGTAGGCAATGGTTCAATAAGAAGTTCTATAATCGAACACCTTGTGAACACAGGTCATCCAATCAAGACAGACTCTGAATTCAAAGTCATCTATAAGGTAAGTAGAAGCCTTCCTAAGACAATTAGACTGCATCTTCTCTGCATTGCCAAAGCAATAGCCATACATCTGGAAAAACCAGAATTGTGTGTGCAGAAGAGACTGGTACAACCTCTTCTTCTACCATGGTCTTAATGTATTAAAATTTTCTCTCTTTTTCATACTCTTGTTCCTTTACAGCCATCTGCTTCACCTTCCATCTTCCCTTTAAGTCTTCTACCACCAATTGGTTTGTTTTTATTTCCAGATCATTCCGATTAAATTTCACCTCTGTTTCAACATTTTATTTTATCATGCTGAGCCATCCTTTCCCAATGATAATTTCCCTATCTCTCTTTTGATGAATACTTAAGCCAATAACAATCAAACGATTATTAAACTTTCCTTGTTCAAAAATTTTTATTTTAATTTTAATACTTTTGTTTATTTAACCTCACTGTCACCATGTATAAGAGAAGTTTATTATCAATATTATTATCATCCTGTAAACATAAGTATATGTATATTTGCGATTGTACAGCTTTGAAAATGAATTCACCCTGAAAAGAGAACTCTTCGCTGAACTAATCTTTCTTATTCAACTTATTTTATCACCTCATATAAACATATTAAATCCATTTCATTTCTTAAACTATGATAACAATATTCATAGAGGGTATCATTATTCATTTGGGTAAACCGTTTCATTTTATTAATAAAGCTACAATGACATCACATGAATTACATAATGAAAACATTAATTCATTTTATAAATTATAATCAAAGAATAAAATTCTATTTATCTAAATCTAATATGAAAGCATAAATTAATATTAAGAAAATGTAATGGAATAATAATAGTGGAGGCAATCAATTCATGAAATTCTCTTAAAACAAAACAAAACAATACAGAAAGAATGAATGGAAGTTTTATTACATAACTGATAAATGATATGTGATTACATAAGTGAAAACAAATTTCTCATTTATGATAAACTATTTCTAATGAAAAGTAAATAGAAACTATTCAAATGAGTTTTTTTATTGTTCTTGTTTGTTATTTATTTATTTTTTCTTTTCTTTTCTTTTTCTTTATTTTTTTTTCAATACAAAACTAAAAATTACTACGATATGATACAAAATAATTAAAGAGAAAAAAAAAGGAGAAGGCAAGAAAAAAATGTTTCTTCTAAACAAAAACAAAAACAAACTCAATTTGAATCAGCACAATATTATTTTGAATTCAGTAGTATGAGAATATTTAAAAAATAAATTGTCAATTATACATTCCTGTATTAGACAGCAGTTTAAGTGAATTTATCTTATTCTTTTGTTTGTGTTATGTCTTAAAAGAAACATATTCATATTCAGGTGTTATTGATATGGTCTTCAAGAATAGATTGAAAGACAATAAATATAATTAATCAATTGTATATATTCGATGTAGAGGAAAATAAAGATGAACAGAATTATTTTGTAATAGCTGAAGATGGTCGACAATCAAGTTGAGAACATGAAGGAGAGGTGGAAATCTTTCCATTAAGTAATTCATGCATCTCTTTAGCTATATTATAAATATGTGTAATAGTTGGTCTATTCGTTGGTTCTTTTTGTATACATACAGTGACTAATTCACG